GCCTAAATGAACGTGCATTCTTATAAAGCCAGTATTAAGATCTCAGAAGATCAAAATCATAAGGAAAGAGACACAAGACACAAGTACACAACCAAGAAATCAATTAACTAATTCTCCATTGCCGATATGAGTCCAGAGAAACATCAAACAAGTCTATATAGGAGTTGTTAACCGAAAGTTCCAATTTCCATAGGCGAGACTCACAAGAGAAGGTTACAATAACGCTGAGTGAGCCGAATTTATTGCAAACAATCCAGTGAGAAGTTCAATTTGAGTGCAGCCCTCACATATAAGTTTCGCCATTTCGAAAATTTCGAATCTGAAATGATAAAATTACTTCTGTGCATGTGTTAATAAAAGCTACAAAAAGGAGCATGCTTGCAATCAGAGTCCCCCTTACCCTTACTTTGCAAAATGGTGAATACTTGACAAAATATCGACCAAGAAAAGGACACAAGATTCATATACAAAGAATCGATTTTTAAACATACACCATCTCCCCCAAACATTCTAATCACAGATCAACATTCTTCACAAAATTCCCAAATTTTGCATGAGAGCTAAAAGCTATTATTAACAGGCAAAATTCTTCACAAAATTCTCATATTGAGTTGCAATATCCACTACAGAGTATCCCACATGTGTAAATTTTAAAAAATTAGTTGATTCATTAAAATTTCCAGAAAAAACTCAACATGCAACTTCACACACAAACACACACACACACACACAGAGAGAGAGAGAGAGGGAGAGAGAGAGGGAGAGAGAACCAGAAAGAGCAGCAGGCACCGACAGCAAGAAGAGGACGGCATTCAGCAGCAGAAGAGTCCTCAAAGATCCCATTTTTTTCCTACTCAAAATATAACAGATCAAAATATGTTTTACAAATGCTTGTGCACTATGTAGAAAGCAGAGAATAAAAGAAGGAAAAAAGAACAGATAAATGGTGTTTGCATATTTTGGTATATAAGTTAGTTGATTATAATAAACTGAGGGTCTGAAACAGATGTAAGGGGAGTTTCAAATTTTGGGAAAATTGAGGATATGTAAGGTTTACACGTTGCGCCCATGCACGCTGTACACCTCAATGTTCCCAACTTAAAAGCCTCACACCTCAACGTACGTTTCTTATCGCATCAATGAATCTATTTAGCGGTTTTACCCTTATGCCCTTAGTTCAGATTATTTTTTTTTTTTTTTC